TGCAATTTAGATTGCAAAGTTATATGAGGCTATGCCTAAAGGAGGACCAATATTGATTACATATTTTAGGAATAACCGAATATTTGGGGTTATCATTATATGAGGGCTATGCTTAATTAATGATTACAAAATACCAAATTACAGCGAATTCGGTTGAAAAACGGGCTAAAGAACCTTAAATGATCGAAAATTGGGGGTACCCTTATATGGGGGCTACCAAAAAAAATTAACCTATATATAATTTTTAGTGGAGAGATTTGCTACCCAATAAGAACTCAAAGTATTAAATTTCAGCCAATTCGGTCGACAAATGCGATCCAAAACCCTATAATACCGAGAATTGGGGGTACCGTTATATGGGGGCTATCAGAAAAAAAACGTACAGTGGAGCCCACATATATGAAACTTCTTAAAAAAGTTAAAATTTCTTAACATATTCACTACTTCTGAAAAAGTAAATAAGGGGGACCTTTGCTTTTTGTATCGAAACGTACAGTGGAGCCCACATATGTGCAACTTCTGAAAAAAGTTAAAATTTTTTTAAAATATTCACTACTTCTGCAAAAAGTTAAAATTTTCTTGAAAATCCATAAGGTGGACCCTTTGCTTTTTTCATCGAAACGTACAGTGGAGCCCACATATTTACAACTTCCGAAAAAGCTAAAATTTTCTTAACATATTTTGCATATTTGCAACATCTGAAACAAGTTAATATTCTCTTGAAAATCCATTAGGGGGGACCCTTTGCTTTTTGTATCGAAACGTACAGTGGAGCCCACATATTTGCAACTTCTGCAAAGAGTTAAAATTTTCTTAACATATTCACAAATTTTGAAAAAAGTTAAAATTTTTTTGAAAATCCATGAGGGGGGACTCTTTGCTTTTTTTGTCGAATGGTACAGTGGAGCCCACATATTTACAACTTCTGAAAAAAGTTAAAATTTTCTTGAAAATCCATAAGGGGGGACCCTTTGCCTTTTTATCGAAACGTACAAAAGTTAAAATTTTCTTGAAAATCCATAAGGGGGACCCTTTGCATTTTTTATCGAAACGTACAGTGGAGCCCACATATTTGCAACTTCTGAAAAAAGTTAAAATTTTCTTGAAAATCCATAAGGGGGGACCCTTTGCTTTTTTTTATCGACACGTACAGTGGAGCCCATATATTTACAACTTCTGAAAAATGTTAAAATTTTCTTGAAAACCCATAAGGGGGGACCCTTTGCTTTTTTTATCGAAACGTACAGTGGATACAACTTCTGAAAAAAGTTAAAATTTTCTTGAAAATCTGCAACTTCTGAGAAAAGTTAAAATTTTCTTGAAAATCCATAAGGGGGGACCCTTTGCATTTTTTATCGAAACGTACAGTGGAGCCCACATATTTGCAACTTCTGAAAAAAGTAAAATTTTTTTGAAAATCCATAAAGGGGGATCTTTGCTTTTTTATTGTAACGTACAGTGGAGCACACATATTCACAACTTCTGAAAAAAGTTAAAATTTTCTTGAAAATCCATAAGGGGGGACCCTTTGCTTTTTTTATCGAAACGTACAGTGGAGCCCACATATTTGAAACTTCTGAAAAAGTTAAAATTTTCTTAACATATTCTTAAGATATTGAAAATCCATAAGGAGGGACCCTTTGCTTTTTTAACGAAACGTACAGTGGAGCTCACATATTTGAAACTTCTGAAGAAAGTTAAATTTTTTTAACATATTTACTACTTCTGAAAAAAGTAAAAATTTTCTTGACCCTTTGCTTTTTTATTGGAACGTACAGTGGAGTCCACATATTTGCAACTTCTGAAAAGAGTTAAAATTTTCTTAACATATTCACAACTTCTGAAAAAAGTTAAAATTATCTGGAAAATCCATAAGGGGTACCCTTTGATTTTTTTAATGAAAATCCATATTTTTTTTATCGAAACGTACAGTGGAGTCCACATATTTGCAACTTCTGAAAAAGGTTAAAATTTTCCTTACATATTCACAACTTCTGAAAAAAGTTAAAATTTTCTGGAAAATCCATAAAGAGCGACCCTTTGCTTTTTTTAATGAAAATCCATAAGGGGGGACCCTTTGCTTTTTTTATTGAAACGTACAGTGGAGCCCACACATTTGAAACTTCTGAAAAATTTAAAAATTTTCTTGAAAATCCATAAGGGGGGACCCTTTGCTTTTTTTATCGAAACGTACAGTGGAGCCCACATATTTGCAACTTCTGAAGAAAATTACAATTTTCTTAACATTATTCACTACTTGTTGGAGAATCAACGATTTTATTCTTTAATAATTTATTTTTATTTATTTATAATTTATTCTTTTTCATTTAAATTATAAATTTCCCATTATGCTATATTTACTATTCTAATAGGGCATCCCAATTGTGTTCCTTAAACTGTCACGAACTGACATCCCTATTTTGTTAATATTCTATTTTTGCCTATTCCCTTTTTCTAATGCAAATAATTCAAGGTCATAATTTGGCAACGTAGCACGGCCAATGATCTTCGTTTACTGTCTCTGTTACGTTATTCTTTGTTATTGTTGTCGCTGCATTGTTTATTTACTAAACATAATGCAGCGACGTCATAACAAAGACAATAGCGAAAGCAGAGACAGTAAATAAGATCAAAGCCGGCTTGTTGTGTTTTTATTTGCATTAGATTTTTAGTTATGTTTTATTTATCTGCCGTGCTGCATTACAACTGTCGAACTAATAACAATTTTTCTGCCTTGCTGCTAAAGTGATAAAATAACTTAAGTCTCTTTTTAAAATAATTAAAATAATTAAATACGAGGAATTACTACTCTCTTGGCTCAAATAGAAGGATGTCTTAATTCCAGGCCGCTTTGACCCATTTCAACTGACCCAGCAGATTATGAAGCCTTAACTCCATCTCATTTTCTGGTTGGAGAACCCATTTTATCTATCCCAGATGAAAATCTATTAGACCAAAATATAGATAGACTTTCTCGCTGGAAAGTAGTTCAGATGCTCAACCAACAATTTTGGAATCGCTGGAAAACTGAATATATCAACCGTTTACAATCTCGTCCAAAATGGCTCAAACCCCAAAACAACCTTAAAGTTGGAGATTTGGTCATAATATTTGATGAACGTGTTGCCCCAGGTCAATGGCCACTAGCCCGAATTACAGAAGTCCATCCCGGTGCTGATGGAAAAGTTCGAGTTGTTTCCCTAAAATGCAGTGGTAAAATCTACAAACGTCCTGTATCCAAAGTTGCACTTCTGCCCCAACAACAAAACTTTAATTACGCAAATGTTCCAGAAGAGAGTTGCTGTGAGCCGAGGCACAGCGTGGTTAGCTCGGAAACCAAATAAAACACCTCATAAATCTGCCCCAATCTATGTCAAGAACAGTTGTTCTTTGTGCGGGGGAATGTTGGAGAATCAACGATTTGTTTCTTTAATAATTTACTTTTTATTTATATTTTATTTATTTATAATTTATTCTTATTCATTTAAATTATAAATTTCCCGTTATGCTATATTTACTATTCTAATAGGGCATAAGGAACACAATAGTTCCTTAAAGTGTCACGAACTGACATCCCTATTTTGTTAATATTCTATTTTTGCCTATTCCCTTTTTCTAATGCAAATAATTCAAGGTCATAATTTGGCAACGTAGCACGGCCAATGATCTTCGTTTACTGTCTCTGTTACGTTATTCTTTGTTATTGTTGTCGCTGCATTGTTTATTTACTAAACATAATGCAGCGACGTCATAACAAAGACAGTAGCGAAAGCAGAGACAGTAAATAAGATCAATGCCGGCTTGTTATGTTTTTATTTGCATTAGATTTTTAGTTATGTTTTATTTATCTGCCGTGCTGCATTACAACTGTCGAACTAATAACAATTTTTCTGCCTTGCTGCTAAAGTGATAAAATAACTTAAGTCTCTTTTTAAAATAATTAATTTGTTTGTTTCTTATTGAAGTTAACGTTTTTATAATTTTATAATATTATTAAACATTGTCCCATCAGAGGCTAACCTATTTACAAACTATATTTAATTATAATTTTGTGTTTAATAAAATTGCCCCAAAGACAATTTAAAAATTAAAGAAAACTTTTTTTGTGTTTTTTTGCGCTGGCTCGAGGAGCCAAATATTCTCATACATTTTTATGGTGCCGAAACCCGGGAATAGTGAACTCTCCCTATATAAAAAAGAAAAAATATATAAAATAAAAAGTGACCTATCCCTAAAACTAAACTATTATACAAAATAAAAAAAAACAGTGTTGTGCAAATAAATAAACTTTTTCTGAAAAAGTGGAAATCACAAACTGTGAAAATACAAAATTGTTCTAATAAACTGAAAAATCGAAGTGAAATTATATGCTAAACCTATTGCCCCAAAACTGTGGAGGAAATTAATTGAAAAATTAACTTGAACCCCTGCTGAAAATTAGAAAAATATTTTATTTGTGAAAACTAAAAAATTCTTCTAAACTGAAATTTTGTATTATACAACAACAACAAAAAACACTGTGAAATTATATGCTATATCTATTGTCAGTAAAAAAAACAAATTATTGAAAATTTAACTTTATCTGCCTGGAAATTTAACTTTATCTGGAAACAAGAAAATATTAAAAAATAATAATAACTCAAACCTGGAAAAAAACTAAAATTACAACAAAGCTGAAAAAGAACTAAAATTAATACAAAGCTGGAAATTAAAGAAAAATAAATTTGTGCAACGAAAAACTAAATTTACAAAAAATCTGAAAATTTGAGAAAGAAATTTAAACTGAACAGTGAAAATAAAAACAATTAAAGAAATTGTGAAAATCAAATCTGTCCCTTTTCTGGGAATAATAAAAACTACATTTGTGTGTGCTAAACTTACTCAGCCTCTTATCGGTGAGAAATTTTAATTGGAAACTTTTATGAACTTTTATTTCTATTCCTCTACTGGGACATTTCAAATAATATTTCCTCGAAAGTGAAATTTTTCATAAATACAAAATGGAGGATTATTCACGATCAATTGAAGATCAAAACATTTTAATGGCCCGTGTTCAACGAATCATTTCGGATTTCGAACAATTGCCCATTGGTGAAAAACCCGAGGTTTGTGCCAAAGCTGTCTCGATGAGATAGATGAAATTAAAAAGACTTTTGAAGCTAATCATGAGCAGCTTTTCGATATCGTTCGGGACAAATCAATTAACACTGCTGATGTCCCATACTTTCACGACGATGTGCATTATCAATTTTTTAGAATTTACCTCAGTGGTAAAGGAAAATTGCTCGACTTTATTTCCGAATATCGTAGTCCGAGTTCCCCGAATTTTCATTCGACGTTCCATGCCTCGTCTTTTCAAAGGAACGATACTATTATCCCAGACGTTCGTCTTCCAAAGATAGGCATTCCCACTTTTTCTGGTGATTATTTAAATTGGGTCTCTTATAGAGATATGTTTCTTTCACTTGTGCACAATAATCAGAGCTTGTCCAATGTGCAGAAATATTATTTTTTGAACAATTCTTGTCGAGATACGCCATTGTCAATTGTGAATGAATATCCTGCCTCTGAAAGAAGCTATGATTTAGCATGGACTGCACTGGAAAATAGATATCACAATAGAAGGAAAATCCCTGATACTGTGCTCAGAAAATTGCTTAGTATCCCAAAATCAAATGGCTCGTGTGAAATCATCAAAACTCTTCTTGACTCAACAAGAAATAGCTTGGCTCTATTGAGCACATTAGGCATTGACTGCTCCAATTGGGAACCTCTACTTATCCACATAACTGTCAGTAAACTAGATCTCCAAACCTGCAAGGAATGGGAACAGTCATTGAAGGCCACAACAGAAATACCAAATATTTCAGTTCTCTACAATTTCCTCGAAACGACTTTTCGAACATTGGAATCAATTTCTGAATATACTGAGTGCACATCGAAATCTCAATTTAAGCCTAATTATTCGAAACCGCAACAACAACGAATGACTCAAAATCGTCGTATAAATATGGCGTCTGTTAACGATGAAAATTGCCCCTGTTGCGGTAAGCGCCGTTTTCTGTATAAATGTTTTAAATTTGCTGCCATGTCATCTGCCTCTAAGCGAGAGTTTATTAATTCAAAGAAAATTTGTCGCAATTGTTTGAATCTTGGCCATTTCTCGAAAGACTGCAAAAGTACTAGTCGTTGCAAATCTTGCAACCTTGCTCACCACACTATTATTCATAACGAGTGTACCACTCAAAGCAAATCCAACAATTCAAATATCTCAGATCAAATGGCCTCTTCTTCCTCTGTTGATAATTCAAACATTAACTTGTCTCTTCTGAACACTACTGTTATGCCTCACGTGTTGCTAGCAACTATTCGTGTAGTTGTGAAGAGCGAATTTGGAAATTTCAAATTAAGAGCGATTTTAGATCAAGGTGCGACATTAATCACAGAAAGTGCATCTCAACTTCTAAGACTTAAAAAGTTTAATACATTTGCCCGAATAACTGGTGTAGGTGGAGACACTATTGTTGTTCGCAAATTTGTGAAGCTTAATCTTGCCTCTCAATTTGAAAATGATTTTGAATTGGAAAGCCAAGCTTACGTAATGCCGTCATTGAACAATTATTGTGTGGTCCTGTGGACAGACAAAAACTGCCTCAATTAAATGAATATAAATTAGCTGATCCAGATTTTGACAAAAACGATCGGATAGATTTGCTCATTGGTGGTGATTTGTATGGAGACATTTTACTTCCTCAACAAAAGAAGTTTGAAAAAGGCATTTTTCTTCAACTTACCCATTTCGGATGGATAGTTTCTGGCCCAACGGCAGAGATTTCTTACTCAAAGGGAGTTAATGTTAATTTGTGTTCCTTAGACACCCAATTAAAAGCTTTTTGGGAACAAGAAGAACTAGTAGAATCCAGAAAACTGACTCCTGAAGAAATATCTTGTGAAGATTTCTTCAAAAATAATTACACTCGTGGCTCAGATGGACGCTATACTGTCGCTTTACCCTTTCGGTCTCAAATAATTGGCAAATCTCCCCCTGTGTTCAGTCACAGTGACTTTAGCGCATTAAAAAGACTCAAACAGGTTGAAAGTAAGTTTTCTAAAGATCCAAACTTTGCCTATGAATATAAGAAGTTCATGGATGAATATGAATCGCTCGGACATATGGAAAAAATTGGTCCCTATCCTCAATCCATCCAACCTCATGGATATTTTCTGCCTCATCACGGTGTTGTGAGGGAATCTAGTTCCACGACAAAACTGCGTGTAGTTTTCGACGGTAGCAGTAAAAGATTACCTTCTTCCTCATTGAACGAAGAACTTTTTCCTGGCCCTGCTCTGCAAAATGATTTGCCCACAATTATTAATCGATGGCGTCGATTCAAAATAGGATTTAGATCGGATTTGGAAAAAATGTTTCGCCAAATTAAGGTTGTAGAAAGCCATCAAAAATATCAGCAAATATTATGGCGAAATTCTGATTCTAATATCTACATATATAAACTTCAAACTGTAACTTATGGCACTTCTTCAGCCCCGTACCTCTCGATTAGAGTTCTTCATCAATTAGCTCAAGATGAAACCGAAAAATTCCCAGAAGCATGTAAGATATTAAAAACGGACACATACGTTGATGATATTATCTCTGGTGCTGACTCTGAATCAGAAGCAATCTTTCTACAGGAAAATTTGGTTCAATTATTATCCGCTGGCGGATTTAATTTACGCAAATGGACTTCTAATTCCACAGAACTTATGTCTCATATACCGGAAGACTTCCGTGAAAAATCAAATGTTTTTGATTTAAATGAACCAAATGTGGTAAAAGCTCTAGGCTTAGGCTGGAATACCGAACATGACACGTTCTCATTTGAAGTCAACTTTCCCATAAAAGCTAATGTCACAAAAGCGAGTCTTTTATCCGATGCAGCCAAGTTATATGACCCTCTGGGTTGGTTGGCGCCTGTCACTATTCAAGCGAAAATCTATTTCCAAAAATTATGGCTCGAAGGCATCGATTGGAAAGATTAAGTTTCTCCCACCATGAAAATTAACTGGCATACTTATCTAAAGGAACTCAAATCTATAGAAAATGTCGCAATACCTCGCTGGATTGGTAGTTACCTCGCTGGATTGGTAGTTACAAATCCCTCATTGAACTGCACGGATTTTGCGACGCATCTACTTCAGCTTTCGCTGCTGCTGTTTATATCAAGGTTTTAAATGAGAATGGAAAAGGTGTAGTGAACTTACTACAGTCTAAAACAAAAGTTGCCCCGTTAAAGGTTTTATCTGTACCAAAATTGGAATTGTGTGGAGCAACACTGTTAGCTAAACTGGTGCACAAAGTTCAACATATGCTAGAGCTGAACATTGAAAATACATTTTATTGGACTGATAGTATAACTGTTTTATGTTGGCTCAGAGGAGAATCATCAAAATGGAGCGTTTTTGTTGGAAATCGAGTAAGCGAAGTCCAACGATACTCTAATATTTCTCAATGGCGCTATGTCTCTACGAACGATAACCCTGCTGACTGTGCTTCCCGTGGTATATCATCTGCTGTCTTAGTTGTTCATCCTCTTTGGTGGACAGGTCCACTATGGCTCTCTCAAGCTCCATCTACTTGGCCCAAACAGCCAGAAAACTCCTACGAAACCAGTCTCGAAATGCGAAAGTCTGCATTAAAAATCAACTCGTCTACTGTCTCGGAATATCCAGAATTGCTCACGGCATATTCATCTCTAACAAAACTAATACGGATCACTGCTTATATATTACGTTTTCTACAATATAAACAAGGATCGAAGGAACGGATGACTGGCAATCTCAGATCTTCTGAACTGAAGAAATCGCTGCAAAAATTAATTACTATGTCTCAAGATGTGGATTTTGGACTCGAAATTCAGCAGTTACAGAAGGAAAAAGGCGTTAATTCCAGTAGCAAAATTGCCCAGCTTTGTCCATTTCTCGACGAAGATGGTCTACTTCGTGTTGGAGGACGTCTACAAAAGGCTAAGTTTAATTATGATTTTAAACATCCTATTATTTTGTCGAAACAAAACCCATTGTCTCTTTTAATCTTTACAGATGCACATCTGAAGACTCTACATGGCGGCCTTATTCAAATGCAGGCGTATGTTACTCGAAGGTTTTGGATCCTTTCTGCCCGCAATCTGGCTAAAAAAGTACAACGCAACTGAATTACTTGTTTCAAGTACAAGGCCAAGTCGTCTCAACAAATAATGGGCAACCTTCCCTCGGTCCGAGTTCAACCTACTCGACCGTTTAAGCACAGTGGTGTTGACTACGCTGGCCCAATAACCATAAAGCAATCGACTGCTACAAATTCGTTAACGACAAAAGGATACATCTGCCTCTTTGTCTGCATGGTCACTAAAGCACTTCACCTTGAAGCTGTTACCAGCCTTTCTACTGACGCGTTTTTTGCTGCATTTAGAAGATTTACCTCACGGCGAGGCATGTGCTCTGACCTCTATTCAGACTGCGGCACAAACTTTGTTGGCTCTAACAAAGAACTCAAAATACTTCAAAGAAGAAGGATTGAATCCCTACCGGAAGATCTTGCAAACCTTCTCGCTAACAATGGTACAAACTGGCACTTTATACCACCCGCTTCGCCAAACTTTGGAGGTCTCTGGGAAGCAGGTGTGAAATCCACAAAACACCATTTAAAACAGATCATGGATAACAGAATCTTGACCTACGAGGAATTATCTACTCTCTTGGCTCAAATAGAAGGATGTCTTAATTCCAGGCCGCTTAGCCCCATTTCAACTGACCCACCAGATTGTGAAGCCTTAACCCCAAAACAACCTTAAAGTTGGAGATTTGGTCATAATATTTGATGAACGTGTTGCCCCAGGTCAATGGCCACTAGCCCGAATTACAGAAGTCCATCCCGGTGCTGATGGAAAAGTTCGAGTTGTTTCCCTAAAATGCAGTGGTAAAATCTACAAACGTCCTGTATCCAAAGTTGCACTTCTGCCCCAACAACAAAACTTTAATTACGCAAATGTTCCAGAAGAGAGTTGCTGTGAGCCGAGGCACAGCGTGGTTAGCTCGGAAACCAAATAAAACACCTCATAAATCTGCCCCAATCTATGTCAAGAACAGTTGTTCTTTGTGCGGGGGAATGTTGGAGAATCAACGATTTTTTTCTTTAATAATTTATTTTTTATTTATATTTTATTTATTTATAATTTATTCTTATTCATTTAAATTATAAATTTCCCGTTATGCTATATTTACTATTCTAATAGGGAATAAGTTAAAATTTTCTTGAAAATCCATAAGGGGGACCCTTTGCATTTTTTATCGAAACGTACAGTGGATTTACAACTTCTGAAAAAGTTAAAATTTTCTTGAAAATCCATAAGGGGGACCCTTTGCTTTTTTTATCGAAACGTACAGTGGAGCCCACATATTTACAACTTCTGAAAAAAGTTAAAATTTTCTTGAAAATCCATAAGGGGGGACCCTTTGCTTTTTTTTTATCGAAACGTACAGTGGAGCCCACATATTTACAACTTCTGAAAAAAGTTAAAATTTTCTTGAAAATCCATAAGGGGGGACCCTTTGCTTTTTTTATCGAAACGTACAGTGGAGCCCACATATTTGCAACTTCTGAAAAAAGTTAAAATTTTCTTGAAAATCCATAAGGGGGGACCCTTTGCTTTTTGCATTTTTTATCGAAACGTACAGTGGAGCCCACATATTTACATCTTCTGAAAAAAGTTAAAATTTTCTTGAAAATCCATAAGGGGGGACCTTATGGAGTGGAGCCCAAATATTTGCAACTTCTGAAAAAAGTTAAAATTTTCTTGAAAATCCATAAGGGGGGACCCTTTGCTTTTTTTATCGAAACGTACAGTGGAGCCCAAATATTTGCAACTTCTGAAAAAAGTTAAAATTTTCTTGAAAATCCATAAGGGGGGACCCTTTGCTTTTTTTATCGAAACGTACAGTGGAGCCCACATATTTGCAACTTCTGAAAAAAGTTAAAATTTTCTTGAAAATCCATAAGGGGGACCCTTTGCTTTTTTTTTTATCGAAACGTACAGTGGAGCCCACATATTTGCAACTTCTGAAAAAAGTTAAAATTTTCTTGAAAATCCATAAGGGGGGACCCTTTGCTTTTTTTTATCGAAACGTACAGTGGAGCCCACATATTTGCAACTTCTGAAAAAAGTTAAAATTTTCTTGAAAATCCATAAGGGGGGACCCTTTGCTTTTTTTATCGAAACGTACAGTGGAGCCCAAATATTTGCAACTTCTGAAAAAAGTTAAAATTTTCTTGAAAATCCATAAGGGGGGACCCTTTGCTTTTTTTATCGAAACGTACAGTGGAGCCCAAATATTTGCAACTTCTGAAAAAAGTTAAAATTTTCTTGAAAATCCATAAGGGGGGACCCTTTGCTTTTTTTTATCGAAACGTACAGTGGAGCCCACATATTTGCAACTTCTGAAAAAAGTTAAAATTTTCTTGAAAATCCATAAGGGGGGACCCTTTGCTTTTTTTATCGAAACGTACAGTGGAGCCCACATATTTGCAACTTCTGAAAAAAGTTAAAATTTTCTTGAAAATCCATAAGGGGGGACCCTTTGCTTTTTTTTATCGAAACGTACAGTGGAGCCCAAATATTTGCAACTTCTGAGAAAAGTTAAAATTTTCTTGAAAATCCATAAGGGGGGACCCTTTGCTTTTTTTATCGAAACGTACAGTGGAGCCCACATATTTGCAACTTCTGAAAAAAGTTAAAATTTTCTTGAAAATCCATAAGGGGGGACCCTTTGCTTTTTTTATCGAAACGTACAGTGGAGCCCAAATATTTGCAACTTCTGAAAAAAGTTAAAATTTTCTTGAAAATCCATAAGGGGGGACCCTTTGCTTTTTTTATCGAAACGTACAGTGGAGCCCAAATATTTGCAACTTCTGAAAAAAGTTAAAATTTTCTTGAAAATCCATAAGGGGGGACCCTTTGCTTTTTTTATCGAAACGTACAGTGGAGCCCAAATATTTGCAACTTCTGAAAAAAGTTAAAATTTTCTTGAAAATCCATAAGGGGGGACCCTTTGCTTTTTTTATCGAAACGTACAGTGGAGCCCAAATATTTGCAACTTCTGAAAAAAGTTAAAATTTTCTTGAAAATCCATAAGGGGGGACCCTTTGCTTTTTTATCGAAACGTACAGTGGAGCCCAAATATTTGCAACTTCTGAAAAAAGTTAAAATTTTCTTGAAAATCCATAAGGGGGGACCCTTTGCTTTTTTTATCGAAACGTACAGTGGAGCCCAAATATTTGCAACTTCTGAAAAAAGTTAAAATTTTCTTGAAAATCCATAAGGGGGGGACCCTTTGCTTTTTTTATCGAAACGTACAGTGGAGCCCAAATATTTGCAACTTCTGAGAAAAGTTAAAATTTTCTTGAAAATCCATAAGGGGGGACCCTTTGCTTTTTTTTATCGAAACGTACAGTGGAGCCCAAATATTTGCAACTTCTGAAAAAAGTTAAAATTTTCTTGAAAATCCATAAGGGGGGACCCTTTGCTTTTTTTATCGAAACGTACAGTGGAGCCCAAATATTTGCAACTTCTGAAAAAAGTTAAAATTTTCTTGAAAATCCATAAGGGGGGACCCTTTGCTTTTTTTATCGAAACGTACAGTGGAGCCCACATATTTGCAACTTCTGAAAAAAGTTAAAATTTTCTTGAAAATCCATAAGGGGGGACCCTTTGCTTTTTTTATCGAAACGTACAGTGGAGCCCAAATATTTGCAACTTCTGAGAAAAGTTAAAATTTTCGTGAAAATCCTTTGCTTTTTTATCGAAACGTACAGTGGAGCCCAAATATTTGCAACTTCTGAGAAAAGTTAAAATTTTCTTGAAAATCCATAAGGGGGGACCCTTTGCTTTTTTTATCGAAACGTACAGTGGAGCCCAAATATTTGCAACTTCTGAAAAAAGTTAAAATTTTCTTGAAAAAAGTTAAAATTTTCTTGAAAATCCATA